TAAGTCATTGTCCCGGCATTTCAATTGTCGCCCATAAGCATGAACCAGGCCACCAACTCACAAGCTTACATGCAACAACTAAAACCAGGCAATACTAGCTACGCAAGCTATGCTAGGACAAACTTTTGAGACGACCAGAGCAAATTGACTTTGATTGTTTGCCCTGGCAAACTTATGTACTCCAAACTCATCCACTGGACGATGCTGGCTGTATTTCTTGCGTGGGCGATCTTGTCGCCGACGGGCGATGTTGTCCAGGGCGTTCCGGTCAAATTCGTAGGCGCCGACCTCATTACCGTTGTCCATGGACATTGTGTTGGAAGGATACGTTAAGGTTCAGATAAAATGAAGAAATGAAGAAGCGCTCCTTCATAGTATGGAGATGGTAGAATCTTCAAGCAACTTTTGAACGACCAGGGAGAGTTGCTGATAGGCGAATTTGTATGAAGCTATAGAATTCCTTTATTCTTTCAAAGTAAATGAATGCTTATGTATTCATTAGTAGCGTGAAGCTTTGAACATATTCGTTAGTAGCGTGAAGCTTTGAACACTCTTTGTACGGCAGATTCGGCACAATGTTTTGCCTCATTGCGATGTTGCCTGAAAATTTTGAACAGAAGGGATCACTGCTCATGCTGGTGCAGCAAGACATGTAAGGAGATGGCCTGGTCACAATCCAGCAGTCATATATCGACAATCTCAAGCTATGACAACTTGTTACATGTGTCTGTAATAAAAAAGGGACTTTGCGATGGTGTGGGGAGCTCTTTGAGTGGTGGGACTGTGGAAATCCAGTTTGTTTCGCCCGTAACAAGTTTGTTACGGGCGAAACAACGTCCCTCTGAAACGTTTGGATATGCCTATGCAACACATTTCCTCAATTTCATGAACTGCAAGTATTCTAATCCAACATCACCCCAATCTCAGTGTAAACTAGTCTCCAAATGTGCCTGCACAAGACTGTCACCCCTGTCACCCGGCATTCACATTGCCTTAACCTCCTCAAGCTTGTCGGGGTGTGACACGTGGGCATGAACCTTGTGACAATGGGCATTGTCACAAAGAAACTGGTTGCAATCAGAAATGCATTTTTGCTCATGCCAGGTTACCGACATAACGGATAACAGTTAACGGATAACGGTTCGCCCGGTAATCCTACCGACCGGTTACCCATCTCGTTAACTGGACCCGTTAGGTCGGAACCGGGCCGGAACCGGCCTGGAGTATGCCATTGGGCATGCCGCTTGTGACTGCGGCCAAAATGCCTTGATGAGCGGCCTTTCGCCGAAAAAATTACATACACTTTTACAGGCGCATTTTGAGAATCGCACGCGCGCACCCGCGCGGCAAAATTCGCTCCTAGCTTTTGGGGCGACATGTACGGACCTTTTATTCGCGAAGTACGACCGGACACATTTGTGCGAGGGGCTGCTTAAACATTGTTCCTCAGTATGGTTATCCTTGCCGCAATAACCACACTTGGCGCCTGGCGTATTCCTTGAGGTGGTTGGCGCAGTCGATGTACTTGCCCCGGAGTTACCAGGCGACTTACAGAATCGCGCCTTATGTTCAGGTTTTCCGCAGTTGTAACATTTAGTGGTATTGCGAGAGGATAGGGCGACGGCAACGGGATCCTTAGTCGCACTGTTCCTGGTTGCCTGCTCGACCGGCAACAAAATCTTCTCCAGAGCAAGCAGATCAGTAGGCATTGCACCCATAAGCAAATGTTGTTGGGCCACTTCGAAGAAGCTGCTAAGCCCCAGTACCGCTTGCAAAACAATGGAGTTGTTGTCCTTGGCCAATCCCGAACCCGCTTCCCACATTTCACTCACAACGTTCTTGACGCGAAACAGGTAATCAACCACTGACTCGGAGCTGGCCATCTTCAGATTCGTAAACTTTTGGTGCGTTGACATCTGTCGAGCGCTGCAGCTTGCTGCGTAGCTGCGGTGCAAAGCGTCCCAAAGTTCCTTGGCTGTGTTGTTGCTGTCGGCATAGTCCAACACATTCTCGGCCAGTCTCAGCGCGATCTCTGCGTGGGCCTTGCGGTCCAGCTCTTGTGCGGCGGCGTCGCTGGCTGGGACGCCCTTCTCGATGATACTCCAAAAGCCCTTCGCCGTAAGGGCCGCCTTCCTGTATCTGGACCAAGTGACGTAGTTAGATCCGTCAAAGCGAGTGTTCCACAATGAATCGGTCACCATTTTAGAGCGTGGGGCTCATAACCTCTTGAGGGCTGAATGGATTTGGATGCAATAGTGATTGCCAGAGCGTTTACAAAGCAAACGGCTCAGCTCAGCCACAACTCACTATTCTAGAAGCATGCCAGACCAAAGATAATCGCTGGCTCATTCCTATTTATTCACGAGTTCGACAGTCGATCGATCAGCAAGAGTTTTCGCAACATAACGTAGCATGTGAATCCAGTATAACTGCAACGACGTGGCTCTGTTCAACTTCAACCACGTTTACGGACATTGTGGAATCAATTATCAAAAACCCTTTTTCTGAG